AGAGTCATAGTTAATAATACCATCGAGATTTTTTTCGGTGCAGCACTGTAAAAACTGCAGGAATACACTTTAAACACAGTTTCAGGTGGCAGCACGGTACATATTCATAGAAATTTCTCTCCGTGTATGAGCATGTTACGCAATATTAGAATTTTATGTTCAAACAAATTTTTTAATTTTATTGTTGACTTGATAAAATAAATAATTTTCATGCTTTAAGTTAGAAATCTTGTTATTTATTGCAGTTCTGTATCATAAACTAAATTTTTTTGTAGTTAAATAAAACAAAATCTAAACTTATAAAGAAAATTCTTAAAATTTTTGAAATATTCACACGGAAAAAAATTAATCTCTAAACTTGAAATAATATTAATTTGAAGTCCAATGAAATATAAGTGTATCTAAATTAAACATTATAGTCACAATTACTGTGATAAGTTGTGTTTGATTCTGTCAAACTTTATACCAGAAAACGCCATAAATTCACATCTCTGATTTAGAGATTTGTTAATTTCACAACTTTTTTTATATGAATTAGGTACATTGTATTTTAAGTTAATCAGTGACAAAAAAGATTTAAACCATTTTAATTAATTAAGTATTAATTTTATTTTCAAATATCCAAATAAAAGCGAAGGTCTGTGAAGAAAGGTCTGTGAAATTTTAAGGTTACAATTGTCGCCTGACAAAATACGGCACTGACTGATTTAAATGACGTGAAATAGGTAAATAAACATTTTTCAACCACTTTTTCTCTAAACACAGACACTTTTTACAAAATAGGCCAACATACAATGGGTAAGAATCTTCTTAATAACCTAAATTCAAAAGATAGTTTAAATTCATGCAGAAACGCGGTTGTCAAGCGGTTGTAAAATGTAAAATTGGAAATGATTGGAAAGTAATGTAAATAATGACAGACAACAAGAAGCGGTTTACTGACAGTCGCCAGAAAAGAGCAGAAGCATGCAGAGAGCACAATGGTCCAGCTGTTATATTCTTAGCATTACATCACTTTCCAATTTTACATTTTACAACCGCGTTTCTGCATGAATTTAAACCATCTTTTGAATTTAGGTAATTAAGAAGATTCCTACTCGTTGTATGTTGGCCTATTTTGTAAAAAGTGTCTGTGTTTAGAGAAAAAGTGGTTGAAAAATGTTTATTTACCTATTTCACGTCATTTAAATCAGTCAGTGTCGTATTTTGTCAGGCGATAATTGTAACCTACAAATTTTACAGACCTTCCAACGCCGTTAAAACAAAAAAATGAAATAAAAATATATAACATTCGTATTGTGTTTTAAAAATATCCAACTACTTTTTTATACTTGTCAATGTATAGTTCATACAGCCCTACTAAAAATAAAATCAGGAATGGTCAGACAAATGGTCAGGCCGCCTGACCACTTTAATCCAGTTTTCTTACGATTCTGGATGGATCTCGTCAGAAATCTATCACAACTGATCAGGAGGAAGTTTAAAGTGGTCACAAGTTTGCTACTATCCCCTCCTCTTTGTTGACCCCGCCCATAATTGGTGACTGTTTGAGACCATTTGTATCTCATTTTTGACCATATTTTTAAGCCACTTCTGTTTTATTTATTTAAACAATATGCAAAAAGTTGCTACAAATTAATTTTAAAAAATATATTTTATTAATTAATATCAGTTTGTTTACATACGGAACAACTTGAAACTAATTCCCGGAATTAAATTAAAATTTGGACCCTACGGGGATCGAACCCCGACGCATGACCTAACCTAGTGCCTAAACTAACTGCCCTAACGACTGCGACTACCGAACCGACTTACATATTTCTGGATTCAACTGTCTATATAAAGAGCAACTGTAAAATAGTAAAATTCAATTACCAATATTATCAATAAATCAGAATAAACTGTTAAATAATTTTTATTAATTAATTATATTTCAATTTAGTCATAATAGGTTATGTGAATTAATAAAAATTAACATTATTAATTGAATCAATAATAAATTAAGTCTTAACTTTACAATTTGGAATGTTTCATAAACTATAATACGAATACAGATTAATAATAATTATTATTATATCTGCATTTAAAATGAATTTAGTATTTAATATTAATTTAATTTAACATTATAATTTATAATAATAATGAATTATTAATGCAATATTGAAATTTTTATAAATTTTAAATTTAAATTATTAATAATCATTATAGTAAGAAATTATTCTATTAATGATTAATAATAATTTAAATATAACTGTATTTCAATTATAATGCAAATACTTCTCATAATAAGTACTGACTGGTATAGTAAATTACTAATGTTATCAAACAAAATTTATTATTAATTAACTATATTAAATAATTACAAGTAAATATATATATATATATATATATATTAAATTAATATATTATAAATATACATTAAATAAATATATTAAATAATGTTAAAAGAATGGTCCGAATGTTTTGATTTATTTACCTACTTTTGCTGTATAATTAATTCAATAATTATACCAATTTGAAAAATGAGAACTTTTGTTAAGTTAAAAGAACAATTTTTATAATAGAATAATGTATTCTGAAATGTAAAAAATAAATTTGAAAGATTTTATATGTATATATAAATTTTCATGAGACTTTACCAAAATTAGAAAGATGTACCAAAATTTTTATAGGTTATGTGTTCACACATTTCAGAAATAGTCAAGAATTTCAGAAATGGTCAGGAATTTCAGAAATGGTCACAGCTTCGAAAATGGTGGGAGTAAAGTGGGAGGAGCTTGGAAAGTATTTGGTTAGGAATGGTGAGAAACGTTCGAAAACGTCAGAAGTGGTGAGACTGTTCAGGAATGTTCAGAAATTCTGACCATTCATGACGATTCCTGATTTTATTTTTAGTAGGGAGGGAAAACAATATAAATATTTTGTGAATAATTCTCACTCTAAATTGTGATAAATTATAAATTCTTATTACATCGAGTTATTACAAAAATAAGAATTATATAAATATACGACTAAAATTTTTAATATTGTTTATTCAAATAATATATTAGATTTGAATTTATTCAAGTAAGTTGATAGTTTAGAACATATGTTCCATATGTCATAAAATTTGAGATTCCTAATATCATTTTTAGGCATAAGAAATACGTGTTCTTCACAATACTATATTCGGATTAGATATAATACCAAATTTCAGTTTTAGTGATCTGCTTACATCTTACGTCCGATTCCAGTGATAGTTTATGCCTAAGTCTCAGATTTAATCTCTAATTTAGAGATTAATTTTTTTCCGTGCATAATTTTTAGAAAACGCATTTTCCAAAACAATGAAAAGAAATATTTTTGTGTTAAAATAGTCCAAAATAATTAAAAAATAAATTTTTGACCAAAAAATTTTTTTTAAATATTATTTTTGATCAACAAATTTTTTTTTCTTATTTTACCGAATTCTAACCCTTAAAATTAACCCCATTCAAAAACGGCCCGACCGATTTTTTATTTTTTTATTGGAAAATACTCGGGGAGGCCCAAATTAATAGTCCGGGAGCTAGCGACCAAAACAACTATCTCATTTCATACCGGCTGAAAATTTGAGTATAGATTACTGAAGACATGTAAATAACAGAAACCCACGTCTGGCAGGCCGGTGCTGGGGCAGGGGGGCGAATAGGTGAAAAATAATGTAAAATTTTCTCATTTCATACCGATTAAAACCTTCATAACTCGAAAGTTTACATCTACACGAGTGTAAAAATGTGCGTCTGGCAGTTCTGGGGTGGGGCAAAGTACGTCTGGCAAAGGGTTAAACACATAAAATAATCGAAATTTTTTTTCTCATTTCATACCGATTAAAACCTTTAAAAATCGAAAGTTTACATTCAAACAAGTGTAAAAATACACGTCTGGTTGTCGTGGGGTGGGGCAAAGTACGTCTGGCAGCCCTTCGAAGATGCGGCAAATGGGTCAATAGTTAAAAATAACCTACATTTTTCTTATTTCATACCGATTAAAACATTTATAAAACGAAAGCTTACATCTACGCGAGTGTAAAAATGTACGTCTGGCAAAGGGTTAATCACATAAAAAATCATAAAATTTAATCTCATTTCATACTGATTAAAACCATCATATATCAAAAGTTTACATTTAAACAAATGTAAAAATCTACATCTTCGAAGGGCTGCCAGACGTACTTTACCCCACCTCAGAACTGCCAGACGTACATTTTTACACTTGTTTGAATGTAAACTTTCGATTTCTAAAGGTTTTAATCGGTATGAAATGAGAAAAATTTTTTCGATTTTTTACGTGTTTAACCCTTTGCCATACGAAATTTGCCCCACCCCGGAACTGCCAGACGTACATTTTTACACTAGTATAGGGTTTCTGTTATTTACATGTCTTCAGTAATCTATACTCAAATTTTCAGCCGGTATGAAATGAGATAGTTGTTTTGGTCGCTAGCTCCCGGACTATAATAAAATCTGTCAAAAAACTTCATTTCGGAGAACTTTTTATTTAGACTTCATTCAAGCACACCGTGATAATCAGCGACCCCAAAAACCCCCGAGTAACAAGTTTCGGGCAAATTAAATCGATTTAAAAAAGTCGTTGCCATATTGTATTCGCCATTTTGAATTGTAAAAAACATACATCGGATTCGCAATCAGCGATCCTGAGAACCCCCGAGTAACGAGTCTCAGGCAAATTGAATCGATTGCATATGCTTTTACAGTCCCGTTTTCAAGTGGACCACCCGACCCCTTTATTCCATTTTACTCTTTATCGAAAAACATTTTACAATAGGTCAAATTAAAAGTAGAAATAGCAATTTTTCAATGTTAAGGAGCCCTTTTTAGAATATTTACTTTCAACAAAAAAGTGTGGGGTATAAAATTAGTTGTAATTTTTTCGAAAAAACATAAATTGTCATTAAAGAAAGAGATTAAAATTTTATTGAGCTTAAAACGAGAAGTGTAACTTAATTCTTTCTATTTCAGGAGAGTGTCGATCAATTCATCTTTAATTGACCTTGTTATTGCGCGTTTAAGGTCTGATGAACTTTACAGTCAAAGTGTTGCATTTCCTCATCCTGAGCACCGTAGTATGGCTTTAGCTAATCAAGCATCAATGTTGGTCGTGATATTAGCATTTAAACCATCGATATTACATAATCAAAATGCAATTATGAGAGAAATAGTAGACAGATTTTTTCCAGATACTTGGGTTATAAGTGTTTATATGGGAATTGTAATCGATCTTTGGGATTGGTGGGTTCCTTATAAAGCTGCTCGCTCTGCTTTAAACAACACACTTGAGATTAATAATGTTAAAATTATTTCGCAAAAATATGGACAAGCTATGGAGGTAACATTGAATTTTAATTTAAATTCTAATGTAAGCTTTAATTATAATCAAATTGATTTTGTAATTATGTATATATGTACATACACATAAGGCATTCTATCATCAGGTCGAAATCGATCAAGTCACATCTATGAGATGCAAATTAATTTTGTTTTCTACTTTTTCTAGATACAAATTTACAAAACTGAAGAAGTCAGGACAAAAGTAACTCTAGATGAAAGTACATTAGGATCAGTAATAAAATTAATTCGAGATTCAAATGTAACGTTACATTGGATTTTATTGCATACGGCCATTCCTACATTTCTTTTGGGAGACACAAAAAAGTCTAGATCTCTTCGTCTAATGGTTATACAAGAAAGTAAATATACCATCAATAATGGTTTACGATTGATTTTAAGTTCAGCACAAATAGAGCATGAAGTTAAACAACTATATAAAACGGTAATAACTTTAATAACATTATTTTAATTAATAATATTAATAATAACAAGATAATAACATATTATATTAGTAATTACATTTTTATTTAAATGAAATATTTCATTTCGCATATTATAGTCCGATTAAGTTAAATGATTACAAAATTTAACTTAGTTATAGTTAGTCAATTGTTATTTTTACATGATGGTTTTTGACAATCTTATGTCGCTGAATATCAAACTAGAATCAGTTTTCAAAATAACATTATCTTCTTGTGGCAACGGTTCTTGATGTGCAGCGTCAAGTATAAGTATACACAGGTTGTACCTTACCCATCCACTCTACCGCTTTGGTAATCTCCGCAGCGAAGGCCTCTTTATTCCATTTGAACTGACAGAACTACCTCTTTTCTTCTACTTCTCAATGTCAGAACATTTTAACAGCCACTTGACGTTTCATGGATTGTTATAAATATGACGATTTAAAGATGATTTAATTGTATCGATCTTTTTTACGGCAAAGTTAGCTGTGTTTGACTCTTGATGGTTCATGGATTGCCACAGCTTCATAACATTTTTTTAACGATTTAAAATTTTTTTAAATTTACGAAACTATATTTTTCGAATTTTGTCCATTTAAAATAGGGTTTCAGAGCACTGTGTACGTTCAGTTTATATTTTCGTTTATACTTCGGTATTCGTGTACTCGTGTTTTGCAGTTCTCGTCTTCGCTCGCAAGCCCTTGAATTCGGCTCGTGCGCTCGATACGTCTCGAACTGCAAACTTTACTTGTATGGAAATCAACCATTTTTTTCTCTAGATGCACAATATACTATTCTTTAAATTTTTATTCTACTTCTTCTTTTTAATAATAATTTACTTTTTAGCTGTTGATTGATAAAGAAGCAAAGTGGTTAAAAAACAAAGAAGCTTCTGTAGAGCGGATAAAAGGACTTGCTGAAATATTTGGAGGTCAGAAATTATTTGATGGCATTGATATGAATCAATGTTTGGAGATTTGGTTCAACGATATAAGTCAACATGTTGCTACTTTAAAGAAAGAGGATTCAAGAAAAATACCTCAATTATTACATGCTTTAGAAGAAGTTCAAGGTCTAAAACAGATTTGCACATATAGTCCTTATTTTATGTCCCACATTTTGTAAAATATACATCTTATTTTCAGAATTTCACCAGTTGGAAAATAACTTGCACATATCCCAGCATTTAAACGATACGAGAGATATTCTACATAACATGTTACACACAAGTAACGTTACCGAAGATACATTGATAACTTTAAATATTGTAACAGATTGTTGTTACGCTTGGAATATTATGGAATCGTTTATTCCAATTATGCAAGAAAATATTAAGGCGAAGCCACTGACTGTCATTAAACTCAAAGCTCTCTTTTTAAAAGTAAGTTTTTAAACTTATAAATAACAAGTTGCTTAAATGATATAATAAACATAAAATTTTAAAAATAGAGTTTGGACCTTTTACATTATAACGATTGTTTAAATGATAAATTAATAATTATGCAAAAATTAAATAATCATCTTCCCTTATTCGTCACAAATACAATTTTCGATACTAACGTGAAAGTCAGCAGCCAGTCAATTTTATATTGATAAATAAGCAAAAACAAAAGTCAAATGTTTAACTAATAAATACCACAAATATCTTATAGTTATCTCAAAAGGAAGTTCCGTCGGGAAAATTAACCAAAAAGGGAATTTTGTGCCCTGATTACGAAAATCATAGTGAAAATTGGTGACTAGGTCATCTTCATGGTAAAAACCATAAAATTGTGGTTTTTGCGTTTAACTCGTTGGATTGGATTAATCATAATTTTTTGTGTTTAAAACTATTTGTAAATTTTTTTCTGCTTTTTTTGCTTTTATTTTAATCAGGGCACAAAATTACGTAAATATACCAAGTTTCATTAAAATCGGACATATGTGACTGTCCACGAGAAAACACGGCTTAGCTTTAAAAAATCAATTTTGAGTTTTTATGCTAATCGATAGATATTATATTGCTTTTTCAAATGCAAAAATCAAAAGTTATAAATTGTCAATTACTTTTGACAATACAACGTTTTAAAGATGTTATATTGTATGCATTCCTTCGTTCTGCTTCTACTTCAATCACTCGCCTGTGAAAGCTAAGCCATGTTTTCTCGTGGACAGTCACATATGCACTAATCGGAAGTATATCCGATAGAAGAATTAGAAATGGTGAGCTCCTTAGATAAGCGCATCCTTATTTTTGGTGCATCATCGATAGCGAGTCGGTAGATATGCAACAGAATTCCAGGACAGTATGGTTGTAGTGCGTGATCACCTCAGCAGAGTAGTAAAGGTTAAAGCCGTGTGAAGTGAGATTAAGATTGGAGAGGCAACTCACGGGAGTAGGCACTGTCAGACAAGGGAGGCTCTATACGAGTTGTTTGTCCCAGCTCAAAAAGCCTCTCAGTTCTTTTACCGTCTCATTGTCGGGATCAAAAATTAGATCCGACATCGGGACCTCTCTTGGATTTGAATTCTGGAATTTTCGTACTAGGAATTTGAGAAACCTGGGTCTAAATTCCTCGAGAATCTGGCATTCATACAGGACATGAGTCAAGGTCCTTCTCTCCGCACCGCAGCGACAGATGTGCTCCGTCCTCCAATGTATACGCTCGAAGTGTTCAGCTGTATAAGTGTGTGAAATGCGAAGTCTGGTAATAGTATTGATCCAGTTTCTTGGAGCTGACATACCTTCAAACCAAACCTCGGTGATTTAGCTGTAACTTTTGAAAAATATGCGTGATTTGATACATCCACATCCTCGTAAGGCCATGAGATTTTTAGCCAGGAAGCATAGTCAAGGATTAGCACGGACTTCAGTAGGTCATTCATATCCGTATTTCGTATGTTAGAGCAGAGTTGACTTTGCTCGAAAGACAGTTGTTGATTTTATTTCAGGCAGATTGTGAATCTGTTACTATAAGTGTTTCAATATATTTTCGTTTTTGTGCGTGTAGAACTGCCCTAAAAATGAAATAGAATTCTGCGTTAAGAGTAGACGTGTAAGGTTGTAGTGGGGTGTCACAGGTAAATCCACTGGTCTTTTCGCAAAACGCCGAAGCCGAGAGAAAAGTTGAAGGATTAGTTGTAGCATCTGTGTATATAATATTGTAGTCTGGGTAAGAGTTATGGGAGCGTTCACAAATTACGTAACGCTAATTTTTGAAAATTTTGACCCCCCCTCCCCCCATGTAACACACTGTTGCATACATTAGCGCCATTTTTTCTGCTGTACATAACAAATAGCTAGACCCCCCCCCCTCCCCTTTATAATGTTACGTAATTTGTGAACGCTCCCTATTGACAAAAGTTCGAAATTCCATTTCTGAGTGTGGTGAATCCTGGAGCACGATACTGGAGGAAGTATCACATTCGAACGGAGAGGACAAAGATTGTTAGCTCCAATCGAAGTGAAACTGTTTTTTTGATTGGAAAAAAGTCTTGTTATAGGTTCAACCCGGAGAAATGCATTTAGTAGAGAGAAACCGGATATCCTAAATGTAGAGATACCCTGTGTCACCCTTTCGTCAAGAAGTTTTAATTTCGGAAGAAGGGGATTTTCTCTCCAAGAGAGATTCCGAAGAAGAAAGGTGTTGGCAAGATATGCTCTTCTATATGAAAGGGAAGCCTCATTGGCCTCTGAGAGCAAAGTCAAAACAGGAGAGAATTTCATAGGGCCCAGGATCGTTCTCAGGGCGGCGAATTGAACTCTATCCAGTAGTATAGGTATCTCTCAATATCTCTTAGATAGATGTTGAAGAGGATCGTAGATAAACCCACCCCTCTGAGGGACCCCTACCCCGCAAGTTTCTGGATTTGAGCCGTCTTGGTATAAAATTGATTATGTGTGTATTGAAATTTAAATTCTTAAGTTGTTTGTTGAGGATATCCGGACGAACATTATTAAATTGCTAAGGTGCTTAACTTATTCGAGAATCCATTGTGAACACCCGTGACGAAGGAGGCAACCGAGTCATTTGAGGAGCGCATTTTGCGAAATCCATGCTGGTGTCGGGGTATGAGACTCCGACATTATTTTCCAGTCTATACTGGATAAGTTTCTCGAAAGAACGATGCTGAAAAATGGTCAAAATTTGCCCCCCAAGGGGATTGTAAAAGAAGTATATGTTTTTATAGATTTTGACCTGCTGAATCCGAAAATTAACCTTAAAAAGTTCTAAACCTTGGGGAGAGGGTTGAAAAACCACCCTTAACTCAGAGACACCGTTTTCAATACAAAACAGTAAAATATGATAAAATTATTAAATAAGAAATGTTTACACTATAATTTAATAAATTAAGGTAACAGTAATAACAACCGCAAAATTTAAATCACGATTACGACCCTTGCAGTTTATAAAACTACCCGCTCATATATCAACACTTATGCCAAACCCCCAAAAAGATATAAAACGTCAATATATTGATACATAACAAAGCAATAATTAATCCTTTAAAAATAAACAACGTTTACCACTACTGCAGAAATATCGGCCACCCCTAAATATGTTAAAAAATCAGCCCTAAACAACCAAAAACGAAAAAAAACTTAAAATGTCATGGACTAAGATTCTAATGTTTTTGTTAAAGAGTTATCCCTACCAATAACAAATAAGCAACTATTGTTACATCCACCATTAACTCAACAACCCTTAATCATGATCAGAAACTACCCCTTTATCATCCCTAAAAAATTACCTCCGAAGTTACAAATTAAAAACCAAATTATTTTACTATTTATGACACTTTAAATACATGTTTGATATGGTGATAATCAATTTATTGCTATCAATAAAGAAAACACATAAAATAAGGTAAATAATAAATAAATAAATAATAAATAAGGTACAGTTTTTGATGGTCCAATCTATAAAGATCAGGGCTATTAGATCCAACCGCTGAAGGTTAGATATATTGTAGTCAAATTAATAAATATCAGGGTTATCAGATCAAACCACTGAAGGTAAGAAACATTTTAGTCCAATCAATTATTATAAGGGTTATCAGGTCAAACCACTGAAGGTAAGATACATTGTTGTCCAATCAATGAAGATCAGAGTTATTAGGTCCAACCACTGAAGGTAAGAAACATTGTGGACCACTCAATGAAAATTAGTGTTATTAGGTCCAACCACTAGAGGTGAGAAACATTGTTGTCCAATCAATAAAGATCAGGGTTATCAGATCAAACCACTGAAGGAAAGGAACATTGTTGACCACTCAATGAAGATCAGTGTTATCAGGACCAACCACTGAAGGTAAGAAACATTGTGGACCACTCAATGAAGATCAGGTTTATCAGATTAAACCACTAAAGGTAAGATACATTGTTGTCCAATCAATGAAGATCAGGGTTATCAGATCAAACCACTGAAGGTAAGGAACATTGTTGACCACTCAATGAAGATCAGTGTGATCAGGACTAATCACTGAAGGAAAGGAACATTGTTGACCACTCAATGAAGATCAGTGTTATCAGGACCAACCACTGAAGGTAAGAAACATTGTTGTCTAATCAATCAGTGGTTGGACCTGATAACCCTTATAATAATTGATTGGACTACAATGTTTCTTACCTTCAGTGGTTTGATCTGATAACCCTGATCTTTATTGATTAGACTACAATATATCTTACCTTCAGTGGTTGGATCTAATAGCCCTGATCTTTATTGATTGGACCACCCAAGACTACCTTCAAGGTTTGAATACTTTATGTGTTTTCTTTATTGATTGCAATCAATTGATTATCACCATATCAAACATGTATTTAAAGTGTCATAAATAGTAAAATAATTTGGTTTTTAATTTGTAACTTCGGAGGTAATTTTTTAGAAATGATATAGGAGCAGTTTCTGATCATGATTTAGGGTTGTTGAGTTAATGGTAGATATAACAATAGTTGCTTATTTGTTATTAATAGGGATAACTCTTTAACAAAAACATTAAAATCTTAGTCCATGACATTTTAAGTTTTTTTTCGTTTTTGGTTGTTTAGGGGTGGTATTTTAACATATTTAGGGGTGGTCGATATTTTCACAGTAGTGGTGAACGTTGTTTATTTTTAAAGGATTAATTATTGCTTTGTTATGTATCAATATATTGACGTTTTATACCTTTTTGGGGGTTTGGCATAAGTGTTGATGTATGAGGGGTAGTTTTTTAAACTGCAAGGGTCGTAATTTAAATTATGCGTTTGTTATTACTGTTAAGTACCTTAATTTATTAATTTATAGTGTAAACATTTCTTATTTAATAATTTTATCATATTTTACTACTTTTTATTGCAAACGGTGTCTGTGAGTTAAGGGTGGTTTTTCAACCCTTTCCCCAAGGTTTAGAACTTTCTAG